ATAGACCACAGAGCACTGAACAGGGTTACCATTAAGTCCCGTTACCCCATCCCACGAGCCGACGAACTGATCGACCAACTGCGTACAGCCCGGGTTTTCTCGAAAATCGACCTTAGGGGAGGTTACCACCAAATTCGCGTCAACCCACCCGACTGCCCCAAGACAGCCTTCCGAACACGCCACGGATCCTTCGAATATACAGTCATGCCCTTCGAACTGACCAACGCCCCTGCCACTTTCCAAATGACGATGAACGAAGCCTTCCGCCCGCTTTTAGATAAGTGCGTCATCGTGTATCTCGACGGCATCCTAATTTACAAACCCGACAGAGCACAACACTTACAGGACATCGACGCAGTTTTAAAAATACTGAGTGAGAACCGCCTACTGACCAAAGCCTCTAAGTGTGAGTTTTTACAGGACCGACTGGAGTTTTTGGGACACATTATTTCAGCTGAAGGAGTGGAAATAGACCCGAAGAAGATCGCGACGATTCAAGCATGGCACGCGCCGACCAACTTGCCTGAGTTGCAGAGTTTTCTGGGGTTCGTCAACTACGTGCGACGATTCGTCCCCGACATGGCGAAGTTGACTGCCCCGTTGACCGACCTGCTGAGGAAGGGGGTTGAGTACACGTGAGGGGAGAAAGAGCAAGCTGCCTTCTCGGCCCTCAAAAATATTTTGTGCTCGCCGCCCGTGCTTCACATCGCAGATCCGCACCGTCCGTTCGAGCTCGTCACCGACGCTAGCGACATCGCTGTGGGAGCAATACTGTTGCAGGACTTTGAGAACGGCCTCCAGCCAATCGCGTACGAGTCCCGCAAGCTTCACCCGCCCGAACGCAACTACCCGATACACGACCGCGAGATGCTGGCGATCGTGCACGCGTTCAAGGTGTGGCGATGTTACCTCACGGGAGCAGACGTGACAGTACGGACAGACCACCGATCACTACAGTACCTTCGCGCCCAACCGAATTTCAACCCACGACAGATCCGCTGGTTGGACTATATGGAGTCCAACTTCCACTACACGGTCACGTACAAAAAAGGCGCATCCAACATCGCCGACGCACTCACACGCCCCACCGCCCAACTCCACGCCATCCTACTCGCCCAAACCAACCCACTGCTAACAGGCCTATTCACCCACGGATACAGTACCGATCCATTCTTCACGACTGGAAATTCACAGCAACTAGCAGAAGCAAAAGGAGTCTATTACGTAAAAATAGACACCAACCGGATCTGGGTACCCGCGTACTCACTACTGAGGGAACTGTTACTGCAGGAGGCACACGACGTATCAGAAGTAGCAGTACAAAGTTTAGAAACAGAAAAGAGGGGTTTCACTAGCAGCAGTTGGGATACATATAGCAAACCCTAACTGGTTTGTACCCGCTATAGAGCACCCCACTACAGGCTAGATTATAACATTCTGACACACCCCCATAGCCAAAGTGGGGTGTAATCAGCACAATGAGCAGGCATAGCAGGAGTTCACAATAATAAGCAAAGCTAGAGGTAATCACAGCGGGCAAGTGAGGAGGAGGAGGAACTGTGGAAGGAGAGAAGATGGGAGGCAACGACTGAAGCTGCAGAGGCACGGGCACAGGAGCGGCTTACTCAGTGGCTACCGAAGCAAGGGCGACGGACTACTGGAGTGACTGGCTCCGCGGCTAAGACGAGCGGCAGGAGCAATGGACCCACTGGCGACTGGTCCAACAGGCTCACTGGCTGCCGAAGCAAGGGCGACGGACTACAGGCGCTGCAGGCGACACGACAGCTACCTCCACACAACCTCCTCCAACTGACCCACACCCTTGACACACACCCCCTGCTGAACCCCTAACTCCACTCCCACGTCACCCCCCTAGCGCCATTCCCCTCGGCTCCCACACCTCCACCCCCCTCAGCAGCAGCTGCAGCAGTGGGAGACGAACAAGGAGGTGGGGAGAGGGAAGGGGAGTACCCACACCGCGCACCACCCCCATGCTCGCCACCCCACACCCCCCACCACCGCGGAACGCACGGCGGCACGGGAGGAATGGGCAGCACGGGGGGGGGGGGGGAGGGGGGGGGGGGACGGTACAGGAGGGGCCGCGCGTCTCTCCTCAGGGCGCCAAAACGGACAGGCGGGGGCGCGCGCGCGGCTCCCCAGGGCGCCGCGACGGACGAGCGAGGGGCGCGCGCGGCTCCCCAGGGCGCCGCGACAAGAAGGGCGGGGGCCGCGCGTGCTCCCCAGGGCGCCGCGACGAGCAGGGCGGGGGCCGCGCGCGGGTCCCCAAGGCCGCGCGACGGGCAGACGGGCCGCGCGCGGCCTGCAGGCCCGCGCACGGCCTGCAGGGCGACGCGACGGGAAGGGCGGGGGCTGCGCGCGGGTCCCCCACGGTAGGAAACCGCCGCGCGCCTCGGGGCGCACGGCGGGCAGAAAACCGCCGCGCGCCCCGAGCGCACGGCGGACAGAAAACCCTAAAAAAAAAATCAGAGTAGCAGCGGAAGCAGTTAGGTGGTGGGCCCACCCACAGGATCGACCCAAGGGGGTCGACCTGCTCTGAAACCATATCAGAAGTAGCAGTACAAAGTTTAGAAACAGAAAAGAGGGGTTTCACTAGCAGCAGTTGGGATACATATAGCAAACCCTAACTGGGTTGTACCTGCTATAGAGCACCCCACTACAGGCTAGATTATAACATTCTGACACGACGGAGTTACCTTGGGACATTTTGGGGTAGAAAAAACGCGACAGCAACTGCAGCGGTATTACTACTGGCCGGAGCTGTTTACCGACGTACAGCACCACGTGGGCTCGTGTCCTACGTGTCAGGTGATGAAGAGCTCGCGGAAAAGAAAGGCGGGTCAGTTGCAGCCGATTCCACCGCCTGAGCGCGCCTGACAGCAGCTTACCATAGATTTCATCACGGGGTTACCTTCGAACCCTGGGGGTAAAGACGCGGTTATGGTCGTCGTTGACAGGTTGACAAAGATGGCACACTTCGCTGCGTGCAAGATATCGATCTCAGCCGAGGAAACCGCTCGCCTGTTCATCGCAGCCGTCGTCCGACTGCACGGGATACCAGCCGCAATAATCAGCGACCGCGACACGAAGTTCACCAGCAATTTCTGGAAGAACCTCTGGGAGCAGTTAGGGACCAGGCTACAGTTCAGCTCGTCGTACCACCCCGAGACCGACGGTCAAACGGAGCGAACGAATCAGACGATGGAGCAGTTGATTCGTGCCACGTGCGACGACCCGACAACTTGGGAGCAGCAGCTGCCACTGATTGAGTTCGCGTAAAACAACGCCACGTCAGCGACAACGCAGCAGTCCCCGTTCTACCTAAACTACGGGCAAAACCCAACAGTGCCCATGACGCCGAGTCCGGACAACCTTACACCACGTGCACAGCAATTCGCCGAAATTCTGCAAGCTGCCTGCACCAGAGCCGTTGAAGCAATTAATAAGGCAAATGTCATCGCTAAGGGCAATGCTAACCGCCACCGCCGCCCAGTCACGTACCAGTCAGGAGACTACGTACTGCTCGACACACAGAACTTGAGACTGCCTGTCGTACCGAAATTACGACCCCGCTACTGTGGACCCTTCCAAATCAGCCACATGATTACCCCAGTAACAACACATTTACTGTTGCCGATAGACTGGTACATCAGCCCATCATTCCACGTCAGCCTGCTTCGCCCCTACATCCCAACCACAAGCCAACTGCCTCGTCATCGCCCGCCATCCATGACTCGCTCTGCATCGGAGCCGATCATCGAGCCCGAAAAAATCATGAGCCATCGGATTCGACACCCCACGGGAATCAGGAGGATTGAATTCCTCGTTCGCTGGAAGGACCACACGCCAACTGAGGATAGCTGGGTGCCCCTGGCCAACATCGAAACCCACCCTGCCCTGCAAGTGTACCTGAGGAGCCGGGGTTTCCGCGATATACACGCACTCGCGTAGCGGAGGGGGCTTCTTGAGGGGGGGAGGGGGGGGGGGGGGGGGGGGGGGGGGGGGTAGTGTAAGGAATTTTCTCGACATTCCTTAGCGCGCACGGCAACATCGCGTACAGCAGCAGCCGTTGTTCGCCCGTTACTGCTAACGGGGCTTCGCGGACTTTGCGCGCACTGTTTTACCAGACCTCGCACTGCTGGCCTGGCCGTGTCGGCCTACGCTTCGGGACCAGCCCGAGCCTCGATGCCAACATAGCACTAGCTAGCTCGCACGCACCGCGTTACCGTTTGCATGTTTCGCGTATAAATGTTCGCTCATGCCTTCGCTCACATTTTGTACTCGTTTGACACCTTAGTGCAATCCTCGCTACCTAGATTCATTGCACCCGTAACAATGAGCCAAAATGCATCTTTCAGAGGCTACACCTACTGTTGAGATAGCAATGAGCTTGTGGGCAGGAGACGGCTGTAGCCTAAGAGGCAGATGATCACTGGGCACCGATTGTTGTGACAACAATGCAGCCATGGCCATGGCGGAGAGCTTTAACTCAACCAATGTCCTACAATTTCTCGCCTGTTGTTGACATTGAAGGTCTCATGCGATGCGCGGCTTTAAGCTCTACACAACGGTGTCTTTTTAGTGTTCATAAAGGGAACCTATACACCTGTTCTGTGAGTTCCAGGCTAACGTCAAGGCCTATCTTAACATCAAGTCAACAACGGACATTTTTACAAGGACAAGAACAAGTATCGAGGCTACTCCATGGATTCCAGCGAGGCCATCTGTTTGCTGTGTCACCAGCTTTATCATCAACACGCGACAGAACCAATGCACGCTCCTCCCAAGGTTCAAATTTCAACAAAGGAAGCAGTTATCAAGGCATGGATAGTTACGCCAGGACATCAGCGTTTCAGCATGGATTGGACCTGCAGAGATTTGCGTTCAAACACAAGAAATATAAACGCGGCGAGGTGATTGTGCTCAGAAAAGCTTGTTCATCAGCCACAGCCAGGCTGTCAAGTCTGTATCATCATCGCACCATGGGGAAAGGACGCAACGGCAGCAAGGCTAAGAAAAACGCTGACAAAGCTCACGAGAAGGACGTACCTGACGTACCTGCGAAGGAGTCTGCTGCTAACGGGAAGCCTCCCTCAAGCCCCGCTCCTGCGACTACGGCCGGACCTTTCGAAGCTTTTCCGGAGCTGCCGGAGAATGCTGGTCAGGATGCTGATGCAAGCCGAGAGAATGTTGACGGGGAGGAGGAACTCGCTGATGGCGATGCGCGCGAGGAGGCCGATGCTATCGACACTGCTGACGACGACGCGCAGCCTGCGGAATCTCCTGATGATGACGACGACGACGGTTACCTGAGTGATGACTCGGACGAACATCTGGAGCCGGACTCTCTTAATAGCATCATTGCCCTCAAGCACTTCTCACTAACCCTGTTGGTGCCGATTTCCAGGAAGGTGGAGGTTAAGCGTGCAGCCTTAACCGTTGCTGCCATGTTGGACGAATGGAAGGAGTTGTTAACGTCGGATGCGCTGTTGACCACAACTTACCAGGATCTCTCACCGATGTTTCTTTCTGGAGAACGTTACGGCCGCTTGCAAGTTACCTTCAATCACGTTCGTGATGCGAACTTCGTTTGGAGCCAGGTTATACGTCACGAGTGTGTCAACGGCGATTTCATTGATCTCACCTGGCAGCACCCGGAGGATGCGCGTTTCCTGCGTGAGCGCGTGCTGAACCCCACGGCGAAGGAGATCATAGTCAAGGGCGTACCGGCGGAAATATCGGCGGAACTGATTCGCCGTCTGTTGGTGGTATCAAAGCTGGTGAAGCGCGGCAGGAGCGCGTTTGCCAGTGGTTTCGGATTCCATCGGACAGTGGATCCGGTGTCAGGCTTGGACACGGACCGCATCCGTGGACTGTTTGTCCCTCATGCTGATGACGAGTACCGCTGGCGTCATTTCGTGGAAGACCCTACCACAGGGAAGCGCTACTTGCTCCACTACCCGTCGCTGATCTGTGACTTCTGCGGCGGTCAGCACATGGCACGTTATCATGATCGTTATGTCGCCCCGAGACAGGAAAATTTCAACAACTGGAACCTGACTGTTAAAAAGGTTCACGAGATGAATGGTACAAGCAAAGAGACGTCCTACCTGCTTCCGGTGCCCGCTTTCCTGCTCGCTTTTTACTCCGTACCTCTTACTGACGATTGTCTGCTCCTCTCCCCCCGCAGCTGCGTCCCTGAAAGCTTCAGATCTCTTGAAGCGTATCATGCGAGACCCTGCGATTATTCTCACCTCCACCGGAAGCGCGCGGGAGGAATGGGTTTGTGTCCAGACAGTGTGCGAGAAGGCGCAGGGGAACCACTTCGAGCAGGCATCTGCTCATATTGCATCTGCTCGGCACAAAGGGGGTTTGCGGAAGGAGGGTTCGGCCACACGCGCCAGCAAGTTTTCCCAGAAAATGCTGGCCTTCAAGAAGGAGTACACTGCAAAACCGGCGAAGTAGCACGTGACGTTGAGTCCACCACAAGGCAGCATGTGACAAGTGTTTCGGAGGGATGGGTTATTGTAGTCATCAGCAGTAGAATAAGAGAGGTGGCTGGTTTCAACGGCTCACCTGGTCTGGTAGCAGTGCTTTTCCTTACAGCCCGTGGATGCGAGGGGGCTTTCCAGTTGTTGATTCATGGATAAGGCCCACACGGTTGTTTTCTGCGAGTTCAACATCAACGGACTCGGGAGTGTAGAGAAACAAAAGAAGTGCAGCGAATGGATGAAGAAGAAGTCAGATGTGGCGATAATCACAGATACCAGATTACAGGCAGATCACAACTTTTGGACTGAGATAGCTCCAAGTGCGGTTGCAGTGTGCGGAAACAACCCTGATGAGTCGGCGGGGGGAGTTGCAATAGTGAGCTTCGTACCTGGATTGGTCTTCGAGAGCATCTTCACACACATATCCGGCAGACTCCTGGCTGTGGTAGTCCGCTGGGGCAGCCTGGAGTTCCTGTTGATAGCAGCGTACATCCCGGCGCAAGCAGTTAACAGGTCCAGCTTTTACAGGGACAGCCTGAAGCCGTTCCTGGAGTCTCTGCCGGTGCTCCAGAACATTCTGGTGATGGGGGACCTTAATGTAGTTGAAGACCCAGACCTGGATCGCACCTCGCAGGCCGGCTCCTCTGCAGATAACCAACGGCTCCTGAGCTGCTGGGGGAGTACAGACCTGAGAGATGCGTTCAGGCACATGCACCCAGATAAAAGAGAGTATACTTTCTTCGCGAAGGCAACAAGATCCAGCTCAAGGATAGACAGGGCGCTGATTTCGCAGCCGCTGCTGTGCAGGCTGGTGGAGGCGAGGCACGTGGCGATTACAAACGGAATGACGGATCACTGGAATGGAATAGGAGTGGTGCTGGAGTCCGCGGAAGCTGTGAAGAACGGGCCGGGCATCTGGAGGTTACGGGCGGAGCAAACAAAGAAGAGTGGTGTCAGGAAAATTATAAAAAAGATCATTGAGGAGTCGGCAGGAGTACCGGTTGACAGACTGCTGGAGAGGCTGACTGCGTGCCTGAAGGCGTACTCGAGGGAAGAGAGGAAGCGGGAGAAAGCGACAAAGCATCATCTTGCCAAGGAGGTTGAGCGGCTCAGGTCGCGTGTGTCACGCTTCCCACACTGCCAAAGGACGGGACGTATCCTGCTCCGGAAGGAGGAGCTGTTGGAGGCATACGAGAGAAGCCACAAGGAGCAACTGCAAACATGGGCGGGTATTGGGGCGGAAATGGACGGGGAGGTGGCGTCGGGAACACTGTCAGCACAGATAAAAACCCGTAAGGCGAAGACGGCAATCCGAGAAGTATCGAGGAACGGGAGCATATTCACGGGGGTGAAAGAAGTGCTCTCGGCGGCGACAGATCACTTTCGAGAAGCTTTCGGTGGTACCGGCGGAGGAGTGTTACCTGGCGGAGTGATCCACCCCATGCAACGGAAATTGGGAGATGAAAGCAGGAAGGCGCTAAGCGCACCATGGTCGGAGGCCGAGGTGCGTAAGGCGGTGCGGGAGCTTGCTCCAAGGAAAAAGCCAGGCGCAGACGGCTTGCCCAAGGAGCTCTTCGACCACAACTGGGACCTGCTAGGGCCGATACTGATGAACCTGGTGAAGAGATTCACGGAGGGGGAGGAGTTGCCGCACAGCGTCTCGACAGCGGTGACTATCCTGCTGCATAAGAAGGGGGACAAAGGCGATTTAGGGAACTATCGGCCGATAACACTTCTGAGCACAGTTTACAAGATTATTGCAAAAGTGATGGCGAGCAGACTCAAGGTGGTGCTGCACGAGGTCATTTCGGAGGACCAGTATGGCTTCATACCTGGCCGGCAGCTGGCGGACGCAGTATCGGTGGTAGCAGATGCCATAGAAGCGGGTGCTAACGGGAAGGAGGACTGGTACCTGTTGATGATTGACTTCCAGAAGGCCTTCGACTCAATCTCGCGCGATTACCTGTTTAGCACGCTACGGAGGCTGGGTTTACCGGAGGACTTCGTGAGCTGGACGGTGGGGCTGCACAAAGATGCGGGGACATGCCTGCACATTAACGGATGGACGGGAGACAGGGTGGCAGTGGAGAAGGGCGTGCGCCAAGGCTGTCCGCTGGCGCCGTACCTCTTCCTCTGCGCGGTAGAACCATTGTGTCAGGAGATCAGCCGGAAAAAGTTGGGGATCGGAAAGAAAGGCGTGGGTAAACTGGCATACATGGGGTATGCTGACGATACCTCTCTCTTACTACACGGTGCGGAGCAGCTGGAGACAGCGGCAGGAGTGTTGTCAGCCTTTGGGGATGAGTCAGGACTGAGGGTGAACGAGGGGAAAACGGTAATCTTCCCGCTGGGGAAGAACCGGGGGAAGCCAGCGCCGCATAACTTGCGCTACAAATGGGCGGACAAGGAGGAGCCGGAGCGTCTTCTGGGAATCTGGATTACGCCGAGTGGTGATCCGACTCCATCCTGGAACAAAGCGCTGGACAGGGCGAAAGGGGAGTTAGCGAAGTGGGAGATGCAACACCCAACAACATCGGCGAGGGTAACGATAATTAACAGCTACATCGTGCCGATATTTCTATTCCAGGCACAAGTTTACTTACCACCGGAGGCTATCTGGAAGAAGATCCACAAGCTGTGCCACACCTTTGTCTCGAAAGGAGAAGCGGTGGAAGAGAAGCGGTTCATCCTCTGGAACTATCGGCTGGTCTGCACGCCGCGGAAGGACGGGGGGTTGGGGTTGATCTGTCCCGAAAGGCGGGTCGACAGCATCGCCATCCGATGTGTCTGCAAGCTAGTGCTGAAACCGAACTCGGTTAAGAAATGGCTGGCAGAGAAGGCGGCGGTGATGCCCCTGGGGTTGGATACAATCTTCGCACACAAGTCTCTGCTGGACCACTGGAAAAAAGGAAGTGCACAATGGAAGGAGTTAGTTGAAAATTTTTGGGACTCGCCGCTATGCAAAACGCGGACTCTAACAAACCGTTGGGAGGTGGAACAAGAGCATCTGGCGTTCAACCCGAGCATCCCCTACAGAGGCGCGAGCCCCTTTGGAAATCAGAAGGGAGCAGAGGCGCTGCTGGGGGTACGCGTGGGGGACCTGATTGATAAAGCGCGGGACGGAACGTGTGAACTCAAGAAATTGGCGGCTCTGACAAGGGAGTTAGGCTGCAGAGAGAAGGCGAAGTGGGCGCTGAGAGCCTTCAACGCAGCACCCTCAGACTGGAAGGAGTTGGTTCTCGCGAAATTGTCAAGCGAAGAGGTAGTGGCCACGGTGAAGCTACTGCGGTCGAGCAACAACGCAACCGGAGAGTTCACCTACTGGAAAGTCGGGGAGGCAAGAGGCGACAAAGTGGAGGGGATACTATGCGATGTGGAGGATAGCGGACATTTTTCGCCCTACGAGGGGAATCTCACGATGTGCTTCAGTTTACGGAGTGGGGTGCCGATGTTCACGGAAGGATGCGTGTTCCTGGGGCCCATGGGAGATGTGCGGACGAAATTACTGCTATCAGCGGCATGTGAAGGGGGAGAGCTAATCTCGCTGAAAGGAATAAGGAAGGTGCTGGCAGACTCGGCGGGGCCACAGGAGGGACAAAGGAGATGGGAAGGACAGAGGAGGGAGATTGAGTGGGACAGGGTCATTGAGCAGAGGGACTCCCTGGCCACCCCACGACGGGCACGGGAAATTCTCATACGGCTCCACTGTAGAAACCTACAAGTGGGCTCCAGACTGTTTTTCATGGGGGTGGTCTGCCCGCACTGCTGGGGAGAGGAAACCCCAGATCACTGCCTTCTCGGCTGCCCGGTGGTGCAGGGGGTGGCGGATGTGATGAGGCAAGGGCTGGAGGCAATGTGCCCGGGTTTAACGTGGCAGGATCTGGAAGACCTGCTTTTCATGCAAAGAAGCACGAGTTCGGGCTTTCCGGAAGGGACATGGATTGCAACCTTCCTGCATCAAGTGTGGCTGGCGAGATGTAACGCGATATGGAGAAGTAAAGCTTTCCAGGCTGGGAGTGTGGCTCGGCAGGCAGTGGTAAAGTTTGTCGCACATGCGAGGGTATACTGCGCGGCGCGCAGAGAATCAGCGCGGTTGAAGGGGCACGCTTTGGACGGTGACTGGGCGCACCTGGCAGCCGACGAGGCAGTGGTAATGCGGCGTATCTGCAGCAGCGATGCACCGCTGACGTGGAAGATCAGCTTCAGCTCTGTATGGGACAACCCCAGGCTGACGCATCAGCCACCGTAGCTGCCTTAGAGGGGATCTGCAATACTAGCTATTGTAGCGCTCCCCTCAACATTACAGTTACGACTGCCGATGTCTATACATTCATGTAATGTATTATGATATCAAAAAAAAAAAAAAAAAAAACTTTCTTGCATAGTCTTCCCGTTGAGGAACCCCCGATATACGACCGCGTGGGAGTCCCTCATGTGAATCCTGAATCCTGATTCCTCCTGAACTGGTTTTTTTCAAACCGGCTCCCTCGATTCTGCCTGCTTGGCGTCACACGGGCACATAGGGCGTGTCAGATGAGTTCACCTCATTACGGTGGTGTACGATGCTGTGCATTTCAGAGAGGCCTATAAACACTTTACGTTTGGGTAAAGCTTCATCAAGAATCAACTCACGTGAATGACACGTCCTCAAACCAATCTTATTTCTCGCTTATGTCGACTGAGATAGCAGCAATGTTTGGCACATGAACGACTGTCATGGCACCAAGCGTATCCAAAGCGTGGAGAATACCCAGCTCTTAGAATTCTATAAACGTTTTGCTTTTAAATCGCGTAGGACTGGGCCAAGATTTCCCGTTTGTTAATAATCGACGTCCTTTCGACGGAGTTCGCCTCCGTCAAATTCGTCGGCATTGGTTCTCGTCGGCCAGTCACGAGCCGCAGCCACGCTCTGTCGTCTGAACCGTCCTTCCTCGTCGCGGAACCATACCACTCAGATCAGCCGTCGATTCCGTTACCTGTTCGTCCCTGTACTCCGCAGCAGCACCTTCGTCAGGCCTCTTACTACGCTCGCGAACCATATGCGACTCTTGCCGCGTTTGCGAGTCTAGCTGACAGTTTTTATTTCAAGATCTTAACCCGCCGCCAGTCCGCCATGGCGTGCCGACCGATTGTATCGCTGGCTGTCGCACTGACTCTGCTGCTGCTACTGACTCTATCAGGTATCTCAACCATTCAGGCCTCTCACCCAATCAGGACTTTCACCCAATCAGGTGTCGCGGCCAGTCAGGTTTCTCACCTAATCAGTATCTTACTCATGCATGTACCTCATTCTGTCAGTTACCTCACTCTCTCACCTATCTCACCTATCTCGCTCGCTCCATCCCTGTCAACGTGGCTGGAGTTTTCCTCCTTTTCCTTCAGTTTCTCCCGCGCACGTGCGCTCTTGGTTCTGAAGTGCATATTTCGGGCTCCCGATTTCTTTTCTTCCATTCTTCCTTTGAGGCGCCTCAAAAGTGGTGCTGCAATGCATACCTCGGGCTTCTAATCTCCTCCGCCTTTCCTCCACATCCTTCTCTCGCTCTCGCTCTTCCCTTCGTTCTCCCTCCCCCTTCGTCTCGCCTCACAGTCCGCCCCTCCCAGCAGCAGCAGGAGCAGCAGCAGCAGGAGCAGCAGCAGCTACAGCAACAGGAGTCCCAGCGTTCCGGCAACCAGCACTACATGGACAATCCTTACAGTTTGAACTTCCAACCTACTGACGGAAACGGAGGCGGAGACGGGGGAGGGGGCGGTGGCGGCGGGGGGGACGGCGGTGGGGACGGCGGAGGCGGCTACAGCGGCAACGGCGGCGGCAGCAGCAGCAGCGGTGACAGCGGCGACGGCAGCAGCTCGTCCGGTCCCTCCTTCGGTCCCCATCATCACCATCCTGGGCAGGCAAAGCCCGAGGAGGTTGACGACGGCGCGTGGAGGGACGAGCACATGTACACAGCAGAAGGCGAGTTCATCCCACATGTGTCTGCATACGCCGACGAGGCTGCAATCACGGAAAAGGGGTGCCGGGTTGCAGTGAACGCGTATGTGGAGGAGCAGCTGGCGCAGGCTCCCCCGCCGCTGAACCTGTCTGCGGTCTCGCAGCCGCTCATTCAGCCGCTGCTGTTCTTTCTGCACATTCCGCGCACGGGAGGAAGAACGTACCACATGTGGTGAGGCGGAGAAAAGGGGGGGGGGGGGGGGGGGGGGGGGGGTATTTATTTGGGAATGTATGTGTGGGACCTCTCTGCTGCTATTCAGCCGCTCATTCAGCCGCTGCTGTTCTTCCTGCACATTCCGCATACAGGAGGAAGGACGTACCACATGTGGTGAGGCGGGGAGTGGTTTAACTGGGAATGTGGGTGTTGTTGGAATTGAAGCGAGATGCAACTGTTTTGTTTGGGGCGCAGGGTCAGTCTTTGACCTCATATTCCTTTCCTTTCAGTGTGTGCGCATGTGCATGTGCGCATGTGTGCATCTATACATGATTCATGCTATTTGCTTGTGGTAGGATTCACTGATCAGCTTTGACTGAACGATTTGTTGTGCACGCCTGACGTTTCGTTGTGTCGTGCTGTGGTATGTTTCCTGGCAGTTTTCTGAAGCCATTGTACCCACTCAGCCTGCGCTGCCCTCGCTCTTATGACACCCTTCGACTCGACCCCTCGTGAGTTGTCGTGCGCACATGCACATGCACATGCATGTGCATGTGCATGTGCATGTGTTATGCCATGGGCACGAGCTATGTGCATGCGTGAGTTGTGTGATTCTGTATGTGTTACACTGTGATTCGGGTGCCAATGCCCTCACCCGGTGGAAAGGATAATTGCAAGCCACACCACCATCTGATCACTTACGTGGCATCAGAGCAGGAGCAGCATTGCGAGTTGCACATCACACATCTGCATAATGTACACACGTGACAAGCTGTGTTTGCTGTATTTGCTACTTGGCTGTATGCGCTAAGCTTTCTGCGGTTGCCGTGGATTTCCATCTCCTTCGTGCTCTCGTCTCCCCCCAAAGTTCCGTCCTGTCCCCCTGTACGTTTCACTCCCTCGCTTCTCCCAGCCTTTCCCCTTCTCTTCCCTTCCTCTTCCCTTCCTCCACCCTCCCACTCCTCGGCACATTCAGCCTTCCATCACTGCTATCTCAGACCCTCTGAGTGCCACCCTGCTGTGTTCACTTCCTTGCCTCCGCCTCTCATCATCTCCCCCACCACATACCCACTTCTCTTCCCCTTTCTTGCCTACCCGAAACCCCCTTTTTTCCCCCTCTCCGCTCTTCCACAGCTCCTCTTTCCACGCAGCAACCCGTGCCGCCTGATCTTGGCACATAACAACGACCCATTTCCTTCTCTCCTGACCCCCTTCTGCCCTTCTCCTCGCCCCGTTTCCCAATTCCCCCGTTTCTCCCCCATCCCTTCCCCCTCCCTCCCCTTCTCTTCCACTCCTCTCCTCTACATCTCCCTCTCCCTCTCCTCCCCTCCCCCCTCTTACCCCCCCCCATGCAGCAACCCCGAGTGCCGGCTCCTCTCAACGCACAACGACTACTCGCTCATGTCGCGCCTTCCGGTGCACAACACGAGCATCATCACCAACATCCGCGACCCCGTGGACCGCCTCCTCAGCTCCTACGAGTTCACCATCGAGACCGCCTCGCGCTCCCTGCGCTGGCTGCCGGGGCTCAACCCCGGGCAGAACTTGCTCAAGGTCCGCAGGAGGCAGAGGCAGAGCGTGTCGAGGACTCGCAAGGCGGAGACTAGACGGGTGTGGCCGTGGAGCATGCTTATTCCGCTCATGGAGGATGACCTGTGGCTGCGGGTGAGTGGCTGGGTGGGTGTGGGGAGAAGGGGGGGGGGGGTTTAGACGCCTCAAAGTTTGCAAGGCGGAGACGAGGCGAGTGTGGCCGTGGAGCATGCTGATTCCGCTTATGGAGGATGGCCTGTGGCTGCGGGTGAGTGGCTAGGTTGGGTGGGTGGTGTGTGGGTGTAGTGAGGTTCAGTGATGATTCATGTGACGAGGCGCGTGTGGCCGTGGATGGAGCATGCTCATTCCGCTCAGGGAATGACCTCTGGCTGCTGGTGAGTGAGTATGTGGTTGGGGGGAGGGGGGAGAGGGGTGGATAGGGGGGAGTGTTCATCATCCCTGCGCATTTCCCCTTAACTGCTTCTCTGTTTTCTCCACTCGTTCGTCCCTTCACCATCCACTCCCTCTCCCTCCCCCCTGTTTTCTTCACCTCATGAGTTGACCGAACAGTCTTGCGTACTTTACTTTCTCTCTCGTGCGCCTTTTCGTCCCTCGCTTGTTGCTTTCTCGTGTTCTCAAACCCGCCTTCTCTTTTCCCAATAACCAGTCTTCTCTGCTCTGCTCTGTTGTGTCCTCTGCTCTGCTCAGCCCATTCACTGACGCCTTTAGCTTCCCCGTCGACAACCCTCTCTCTCCCACCCTCTCCCTTCCCAATCCACCGTCCCCTCTCCACTCCTCCGATCTCCCAACCCTCGTTCCCCTCTCCATCCATCTCTCTACCGCCCTCTCTAATTCCTTCCCGCTCTCCTTCCCGCTCCCCTTCCCCTTCCGCCTCTCCATCCCCCCCTCCTCCCCCTCCCCCTCGCCTCTCCCCCTCCCCTCTCCAGCGATCTACGGTGGAGATTCCCGCGGACCCCCCCGGCAGTGAGGGGTGGAACTCGTATGAGAAGGGGCACCTGGTGATGCCTCTGGACGAGTTCGTGCAGCACCCTGCTGTCTCGGACCTGCTGCACAATGGCGCCACGTTCCAGGTGTGGGGAGTGGGGAGTGGGGGGACGGGGGAGTGGGGGGAGGGGAGAGGGGAAGAGGCACCTGTCATGCTTCTTTATTAGCTCGTGCAGCACCCCGCCGTCTCGGACCTGCTGCACAACGACACCACGTTCCAGGTGGGGGGGGGGGGAAGGGTGTGTGTGGGGGGGGAGGCAAGGGAGGAAGGTTTTTCTCTGGATGGCTTCATGCAGCGCCCCGCCGTCTCGGACCTGCTGCACAACGACGCCACGTTCCAGGTGGGGGGGGTGGGGGGGGAAGGAGGGGGGGAGTAGGAAGGGGAGACGCACCTGGTGATGCCTCTGGACGAGTTCGTGCAGCACCCTGCTGTCTCGGACCTGCTGCACAACGGCGCCACGTTCCAGGTGTGGGGAGTGGGGAGTGGGGAGTGGGGGGAGGGGGGAGTGGGGGGAGGGGAGAGGGGAAGAGGCACCTGTCATGCTTCTTTATTAGCTCGTGCAGCACCCCGCCGTCTCGGACCTGCTGCACAACGACACCACGTTCCAGGTGGGGGGGGGGGGAAGGGTCGAGGGAGGGAGGGAGGGAGGGAGGGAGAGAGGGTGGGAGGGAGGGAGGGAGGTGGGGATGGGAGAGGGGATGGTGGGGTTGAGGCATGAAGGATGGTGCTGAGTGGTGCAGCTAGGTGAAGGGATTTTGTGCTGTTATTGTCTTCCAACCGTCCTTTGTTTCCTCTTTACTGCTCTCCCTCCTCTCACTCCTCTTACTCTTCCCACCCCTCCCACCCCTCTCACTCCTCCCTCTCTCTCCTCTCACTGCTCTCACTCCACTTACTCGTCTCACCCGTCCCACCCCTGTCACTCCTCTTCTTCTCTCTCCTCTCACTGCTCTCTCTCCTTCCTCTCCTCTCTCCTCTAGTTACTCTCCCTCCTTGCACCCTCATCCCTCTGCGCATCTTCCTTCCCTTCACCATGCTTCCCTCCTCTCCCCCTTCTCCCCCAACTCCCCCGTCTCCCCCATCTCCCCCTCACCCATTTTTCCCTCCCCCATCTCCCCCTCACCCATTTTTCCCTCCCCCATCTCCCCCTCGCCCATTTTTCCCTCCCCCATCTCCCCCGTCCTTCCCCTTTCTCCCACCTTGGGTGCGCCCACCATGGCTCCATGGGCAGGTGGCGGGCATGACGCAGAACTCCCTGCTGCCCAACGCCCGCATGCTGCGGCGCTGCGCACACGCGTACCGGGACTCGGGCGAGCGCATTCTGGACCTTGCCAAGGTGGGCGGGGTTGGGGTGGGGTTGGGGTGGGGGGGGGGACGGTGACTTTGAGTCGTTTGAAAGTCACACGTGTACCGGGACTCAGGCGAGCGCATTCTGGACCTTGCCAAGGTGGGGAAAGGGTCTGGGAAAGGGCCCGGGAAAGGTGGGCTGGGAAACTCCCGCATGCCGCGACACTGTGTGTGCACACGCGTACAGAGACTCAGGCGAGCGCATTCTGGATCTTGCCAAGGTGGGGAGGGAAGGGGGTGGGTGAAGGGGACGGTGGGGTAAAGGTCGGGGGAAGGAAAGGTGTAAAACGCTCGCATGCTGCGGCGCTGCGCACTCGCGTACCGGGACTCAGGCGAGTGCATTCTGGACCTTGCCAAAGTGGGGCTTGCGGGAGGAAGGGGTTGGGGAAATGGTGGGGAAGGATAATGGAAGGTTGGGTGAAGGGAGGGGGAAAGGTGGGGGTGAGGCGAGGGGAATGCGGAGAAAGGTGGGAAATAGTGGTGAAACGGTGGGAAACGGTGGGAAACGGTGGGGAAACGGTGGGGAAACGGTGGAGAAACGGTGGGGGGAATGTGGGGCTGAAGGTGGGGCATGGGGGCCAAGGGAGGGGAAAAGAAGGGAGACGGTGGCTTTTGGGAGACTGTGGAGTGGGTTACATGTCTGGACGGAGGAACTTTTGAGAATTCTCAGAAGCGGAGGACGGAGACTTGGGAGACTGTGGCGTGGGTTGCATTACATGTCCGGACGGAGGAAAAAGAGGAGGACGAACGGGAGTGAGATGGTTGTCCTCTTCCCTGCCATGACTGCAGTGGGGTGGGACAGGGGAGGGGAGGGGAGAAGAGGAATGGGGGAGGGTGGAGGCTTTGAAGAGGGATAGAGGAAGAAAGGGATTGGGGGGGGTGTTACATTTCCCATGGTGCTCATGCTTCTCCCTCACTCCATTCCCCTTCCCCTCCCCCTCCAATTCTCTTAAATCTCCTTCTCCCTCTGCTCATTCTCGCCCTCCTCTCCCCCTTTTCCCGCTCCCTCAGCTCGGATCTGTCCTCCGTGCTGCCCTGTGCGACTAGCCACCATGCTGCACGTGGGGTTGTCAGATCAGAGCTTCACCAGATGCTCCTTCCTCCATGCTGCCCTGCCCTGCCCCCCATGCCGTCCTAACCCCATGCCACCCCAGCCGCATGCCGCCCTTAACCCACGCATGATTAGGCACGGATAGCAGCCATTCGGCACGTGGGGCTGTCAGACAGAGCTGCGCGATCTGCTTCAATAGACCCTAAACCTCCATTCTCCATGTTACCCCCTTGCGCTATCCTCTCACTCACTCACCCTGTCCCCGCGTGAGCAGGCGCGGCTAGCAGCAATGCTGCACGTGGGGCTGTCGGAGGTGCACAAGCTGCTTACATATACCCTTCAGAAACCTTCACTTCCCATGTTCCCCTCCCTCGCCCTGTCCCCTCACTCACGCTGTCCCCGCGTGAGCAGGCGCGGCTAGCAGCAATGCTGCATGTGGGGCTGTCGGAGGTGCACGAGCAGTCGGCTGTGCTCTTTGCCGCTACCATCGGCCGCTCCATGCACTCTGCTGCTCACACCGCTCAGAAGCAGTCCCGGGTGCGTTACTGTGGAGGGGTGAGAGTGGGGTGGGGTTTTAGAGGGGTGAGGCACAGGGTAGGTACACAAGCAGGATCGCAGGCAGGCACGCAGGCACACTCGCAGGCATGCTCGCAGGCAGGCACGCAGGCAGGCACGCAGGCAGGCACAGGTCTCACATGAGGCCCAGTATCCTGCTGTTACCTTTGAGTCCCCATAAACCCACTCGCTTGAGGTCGGTCCATGTATTTATCAATAGTAGTGCTGTCCTCAATGCATTTCCCTGCCCTTCTTCTCTTGTTCACCATCTGTCTTTCCTTGTCTCTCCTTTCCTCGTCTCCTCTTTTTTCGCCTTTCCACTGCTTCTGCTCTCCTCCTCTCCCCCTCTCCCCCTCTCCTCCTCTCCTTGTCTCTCCTCGTCTACTTTTCTCTCCTCTACTCTTCTCCTCCTCTCCGCCTCTGCCCCTCTCCACTCCTCTCCTCTCCTCCTTTCTTGTTTTCCTTCTCTCCTCTCCTCCTTTCCTCTCCTCCCTTCCCCGCCCCTCTTCCCCTCATCTTGTCGGTCCCACATCACCTGCAGTTTGCGCTGTCCCTGTGGCATAACTACAAGCGCTGTGTGAAGACGCAGCAGGACAAGTACAACTTTTTCAGTCGACTCGAAATGCCCCTCCCCTCCCCTCCCCCCCCCCACCCCCTCCGCATCTCGTCTCCCCCACATCACCTGCAGTTTGCGCTGTCCCTGTGGCAGAACTACAAGCGCTGTGTGAAGATGCAGCAGGACAAGTACAAGGTCCGCCGGTCCATGGCCATTGCCCTGCTTGGACCAGTCAGCTTCTCCAAAGAGGTACAGTACGCCATTTCGTTTCCTCCACACCACACCTCACTTTTGAGGCCCCTCAAAAGTTGATCCATGGCCATTGCCCTGCTTGGACCAGTCAACTTCTCCAAAGAGGTACGGTACGCCATTTCGTTTCCTCCACACGTCCCTTTGAGAGGTGACGACTGACTCTCTTAGATTGAAAAACGCTTGAGTCGACCCAATTGCCACCTCATCATACCTATTGCCCTGCTAGGACCAGTCACGAGGTGGGTTCTTTCATCTCCACCTCACTACCCTCCCCACTATCCTCACTCGCTCACTCACCTCCCTTTCAACACCCTCCACCTTCCTGCCTTCCCTCCATTCTCCCCTCCCCCCCTTACCCTCCCCTTTGGTCCATGTCAAACGTTACCTCGTCACCTCGTCACCTCGCCACCTCTCCCCTCTTCTTTGATCTGCCCTCTAACTAAGCCTAACCCCATATGGGTAATGGGCACCACTGTTTCTTCACCTGTTCTCCCGTCTGTTCCAACCCCCCACCGAAACACTTCCTCCCACGCACCTTCACCCACACTGCTCTCCGTACCTCCCACCTTCCCTTCCCCCTCCCCCCGCCTCCACTCCCCTCTTTCCCCCCTCCCACCCTCCGCGCCCGCTCCCTGCTGCCTTGCCAGGAGCGCATGAGCATCAAGAGCAGCACCTTGGCGCGCATTCGAGAGCTAAACTACCTGGATGTGGAGCTCTTGGACTATGCTCGCCAGCTGTACCAGCTGCACCAGGTGAGTGAAGCGAGGGCTGGGGAGTAGGGGGAGAGACGGGTGAGGGGTTGGAGGGGCAGGAGCGTAAGAGTCTTCTGCCAGCATTCGCAAGAGAGCTAAACTACCTGGATGGGGAGCTCTTGGACTATGCTCGCCAGCTGTACCAGCTGCACCAGGTGAGGTGGAGGGGTGGTGGGGGGGCGGGGGCCGGAGGGTGGGGGGCAGCAGGGGGGAGGGTGTTGTTTTAGGGGCAGGAGTGCAAGTGTCACTACCAGCATTCGCAAGAGAGCTAAACTACCTGGATGGGGAGCTCTTGGACTATGCTCGCCAGCTGTACCAGCTGCACCAGGTGAGGCGAAGGGGGGTGAGGGGTTGGGGGGGTGAGCGTTGCAATAAGGGGTTGAAAGGGCGCACTGAGGGGTTTGAGGGGTGCAATGAGGGGTTTGAGTGGTGCCATGAGGGGTTTGAGTGGTGCCATGAGGGGTTGGGTGGTGCCATGAGGGGTTGGGTGGTGCCATGAGGGGTTGGGTGGTGCCATGAGGGGTTGAGTGGTGCCATGAGGGGTTGAGTGGTGCCATGAGGGGCTTGCGATGGTCTTTGAATTGGTGGTTGAGGTAATAGGATGGTTTTATCATAGTAGGCAGGTCAGGGCATGCGTACACAAGCAGCAGCAAGTGGGCAGTGAGATATGAGCAGAGAGCTCCATGCTTGCTGCCTTCTCTGCACGTATCCCCTATCCTTGCCCTTCCTCACATCCCCTCTCTCTCCTCTCCTTGGTCCGTTTACTCTCTTTGTACTCTCTCTGCCTCACTCTCTCGCACTTCTCTCCATGGTGGCCCGGGTCTTCTCCCCTCTTCTTGTCTCTCTGTGCAGGCTGCATTTGCAGAGCAGATTAAGGCTGTGGTGGGACAGGCGAACAGGCGAAGACTGATGGGATCAAGAGGAGCAGCATCCATGGGAACAGGGAGGGGGGTGGTATCCGGTAGGGAGTCTGTAGGCATGTCGGAGCGTAGACAGGGCTTTGACCCTGCTTGGCTGAGGCAGCAGGCTCGCAGCGGCCGTGTGTTTCGAGAGGAAGCTTTTGAAGATTCGTTTGCTGCTGTGAGGAGAGAGGGAGTTGAGGAGGAGAGGAGTGGGGAAGGTGGAGGGGCGGATCGGAACTGGGATGAAGAGGGGGAGGAGAGGGAGGAGGGAGAGGATGGAGAGGAGGGAGAGAAGGCTGAAAGGGGTACGGTGAGAGAGGGGGGGGAGGATCAGGATGGTGGTGTGGCGGATTCTGGGATTGAAGAGGGGGAGGAGGCGAGGGACGAGGAGGGAGCGGAGGGAAGTGAGGAGAGTGAGGAGAGTGTGGAGAGAGGAGAGAGTGAGGAGAGAGAGGAGAGAGAGGAAAGTGAGGAGAGAGAGGAAAGTGAGGAGAGAGAGGAGAGAGAGGAGAGAGACGAGGGGGAGGAGAGAGAGGAGGGAGAGGAGGGAGAGGCTGGGAGGGAAGATGCGGAGGACCGAGAGCAGGAGTTGAATCTGGACAAGAGTGAGGAGGCGGCTTTGGGGGATAAGAGCCAGCTTGGGAACAATAACGCTAGTGAAGACATGGAGGTTCAGCGAGCAGGGTTGGATGAGGAGGGCCTTTCGCCGGGTACCCTTGTGCCTCGCAATGATGATGATGCTGATGATCTGCCGCTTTCTGTGGATGCTGACTTGAGGCAGGGGGAGGGATTTGTCGTGCCAAACCTCGTGAAGAGCTCAAGCCGTTGCCGCCAATGGGCGGCAGTCCACGGAGGTGAAAAGGGCGCAGTTACATGTGTTTCGAGTTGAAAGTATTGCTTATTGGTGTAGCTAGCCAAGTTTATGATCACTACAGTCTACAGGATTTACGAGGATGAACAAACTAGCTCTCAACTTGTTGCAATTTCAATGGTGAAGCAAATGGATGGTTGTATAGGCGGGATGGATACTGTAAATGATTTAGCTTTTATTACAGAGATAAGCCTTTTGTATCCTTGAGATGAGTTGCTTGTGTGCACTGATGTTGGCTGTAACGGGTCTAGTAGAAGCGGCCAGTTCCCAAGGGCGGAGATTGTGTCTATAAGGGCGGGTCCGAAGTGAAACGTCGATGGATGTCGCTGGATGTCGGTGACTGTCATCCCTCGGATCGACGGTTCCAACCGTCAGGATTTACCGACATCCCCAAACGGATGTCAACGGATGTCGACGTCTCACTTCGGACTCCCCCTAAGTTGACACCAAACGCTTTTCAAAGACACCCGACACAACTTTTTAGACGCTTTTGCTGCAGATCTCTTTGCGCCAGTCAAACAGAAAGCAAGAGTAATTACCCATGCGTACACATGGGTGTGAAAATAGAGGGATCGCGTTGTCGGTGTCCAGTCTAGGTGCGGCCGTATTTCCGGTCCCGTTGCACTCCATCCATCCATCCATCCAAACCCCTTACGGCGTGTGCAAAGTGCTGCACAAACTCGACGTCGAGCAACGTCGGTGAATTTTCACCCTCGGATCAAAGGTTCCAACCGTCAGGATTCACCGACGTTCCTCGACGTCGAGTTTGTGCAGCACTTTGTACACGCCGTTATCCTCATTGCTCCAGCAGCTGGGTTCTGTACATTTCTCTCTGCTCCTTCCTTCGCCTACTCAGCAAAGGAGGTGGTGAGAACTCCTTGTCGTGCTGGCGTCGTAAACATATTGCACTTGCAGACTCGTGCCAAATCTGACCGCGGTGCAGTCGAAGATATCGCTTTTCCAACCAGCTATCCAACTAGAACCACCTAATGGGAGCGCAGCTTCACGGATTGGTTCAAAGGGAAGCAGAAATGGCCAGGTCATGACAGTCCAGGTATTACTGTAGCAGCAGAAGCTACTATGTACACAGCTCGTGCAATGGCGACTCGGCCGGAACAGTTTGTACAGTTGTTGGACGACGCGGTCAGGTCAGACCGAGCTCGGTCGTTGCAACGACACGACAGCTTTTGCTTTAGAAAGAACTCGCCGACTTCAACTGGCCGCGCCGCCTCTCACGGCTCACCACTCACAACGCGCGTGTCGCGATGCTCGAGTCACGACAAATCATACCACCTCACGAGTGGCAAGTCAGCCCCTCTGGTTTCTTACCGGGTTCAATCCGCGATTCGCGCCATCGTCATCCCCAAAAAGGGAGCGTCATCATTTCGTGCCACGTGTAGGAAATCCGGGCGCGCACTTTTTTCGCTCGCGGCACAACCACCGCTATTGGAAATGGCAGTCGCTACATCATCTGTAGTAGAGCGAGCGACGTCCCCAGGCTCAACCATCCTTCATCCTCAGATCAGAAGGGACGTCCCCCAGGCGATTTCGGATCGGACACCAGTCCCCACCCCAACCACTCCGAGTCGGCCGGGCCTGGGGGGATCACCACTGGTGATCACCACTGGCAGTACCTGGGGGAGAAAAGCAAGGGGCCCTTGCCGCTTGCCGAATTTGCTCGGTTGGCCTAGAGCTCGCCTGAGACTGAGAACAGCAGCAGCATTTGTTGGAAAGTGAGAGCCAGAGTTCAGTAGTTCTGTTTTTGTATTTCTGCGAGAGAAATGATATATTTCAATCTGAAGGATAGGCGTACGAGTCGTACTACAACCAATACACAACTAACAAATGGCGTCCCGTCATCATCGGCTTGTAATGAAAGCGGCGGTCGTTCTCAGCGCGGCCGAGCAGCAGCAGCGTGCTCCTGACAACATGAAGGCCCACACGATCATGCATCCGGCATTGACATCATCGAGCGGCTGCTACTGCAACAACCATGGCCTTTCCGCTGCGCGGCCCCTGCCGCGATTCATGGGCTACCAAGATGATGATCATCATCATACCACCTCGCCCCCACCTTTTGACGTGGCTCAGGTGTCGGAAACGCCGCGGTATCATATCTCAGCAGCAGGAGGAGGAGGAGGAGTAGGAGCAGCAGCAGCAGCAGCAGGAGCAGCAGCAGCAGCAGGAAGATCTCTGGTACTAAGCGCAGGACGACCAGGTGCATCGACAAGCATAAGAGCCGCGTGGGAGGCTAAGCAGCATGACAGAAATGACACATGCTCGGAGCATCGTGATGAGCAGCATGATGAGCAGCGCAGGCAGCGCCATCACCATCATCTGCGCATCATGCCGCCCAACGCCAGCGGGTGCCCCGTTCCTCCTCGCCCCGCCCATTCATCGTCTGTGACACGCAGCTTCTCTCGCAGCACTTCCCTACCCCTCTGGAAGCTCGCTCCGCCTCTTAAATCGCCTCACTCCTCCGCCTCCTCCTCCTCCTCCGCCCACTCCTCTCCTTCTTCCACCCCCTCGTTGCCCTCCTCCCCGGTCTCCGCTGCTGCCTCTGCATCCTCGTCTCCTTCCGTTTCTGCTTATGCGAAACAATCCCCTTCCTCCTTCAACCAAAATCACTCTCGTGGCTTCCCATCCGCCCACTCTTCCCACAATCAGCATTCACAATCAGTCACTGTGGTTCCCAAACGCCGTGAGCTCGTTTGTGGAAACACCGCACCTGCCCAGCCGCGAGAGCTCGTGCGTTCGAACCTAGCGAACGGACCCACTACTACAAGGACCCTCTCCAACATCCTGAGGCCCACCACAAGCCCCGTCAGCAGCCCTGGAACCAACCCTAGAGGCAGCTTGGACTGCAGCCCAAGCCAGCCGAGCTCCTCCGAATCAAAAGGTCCGGATCAGCCGGGCCTGAGTTTGACTCGATGCTCATGCGTCTCTTCAAAGCTAACAGCGGAGAGCTCGGATTGTGCTGCAAGCCGAAAGCTTGTTCGGCGCGTGTCGTTCAGCAGCATTGTGCAGGTTAGAAGGGTCATTGACCTGCATGCTGATGCTGACAGATGCTGCAGTGACACTGACTGGCGATACACGAATGCTATCTACTATGACGAACGGTGTAGCAATGATATTCCCTGCAGCAAGAGGGAGCAGCAGCAGCGGCAGCAGCAGCAAACCACATCCCATGACTGTCACTCCAGCCTATCAGATACTTTCAAGACTAACCTTTCAGCATCCACTCGGTCCCCCACCTCCCCTTTGCAGCTGCCCTCCTACCCTTCCTCTCCCTCGTCCCCCTCTTCCCCCTCTTCCCCCTCCTCACCCTCTTCTCTCTCTTCCCCCTCTTCCCCCTCTTCCCCATCTTCCTGTCTTTCCCGTTCAACCTCCGCCAGTATGTCTCACCATCTGAAGCCCCACCCTCCTCCACCTCGCAGCTGCTCTCACTCCTCCCTCACCTCCTTGTCTCCAACCTCACCTTGCTCCTGTTCCACGTCTCACCAACTTGCCTGCACTGGCATGGTCCCCTCCCCAGCTGCTAGAAAGCTTATCGCACGGCTTCGTGCATCAGCAGCAGCATCAGCAGCAGCATCAGCAGAAGCATCAGCAGAGGCACCACCAGCTAGGCAGGGTGAGCAACTTGTGAGTGGTGCTTGAGTGCCATCACTAAAACTACAATCATGGTCAATGAGGGCGTGTTCCTACGCCACATATCAGCCAAACCTCATATCAGACTTGCCTGATAAAATGTGCTAAGGGTTTCGGGTTTAGGAAAATTTCAGTGTGAGTCTGATATGAGGTTCGGCTGATACGAGGCGTAGGAACACGCCCTGAGACCACTAGTAAATAACGTAATCCACTGATTTTGCATTACCCTTTGTTTAGATTGTCAAAATTACGCAACTATTACTTATGTATTGAATACGTATAATATACCACCCCTTGTTGAAATGGCTCTGGACCTGCAACATCCTCCACAGGAATTTGGCAGAGGCAAGGTGGGACTGAAGTTACTCAAATGTAATTAGCGTGCCACCGAACTATATGAGATTGATTTCTGTTCGCACAGGAAGATCTCTGGCAGTAAGGGATCAACGAGTGTACTGCCAAAACATGGAGTGAGAACAAAATTGTAAGCACATAAATGGTATGAAGCAGTAACTGGCTGAACTGCCGCTCGAGAACAACGTGTATCGCGTACTGCTCCACCAGATCCGTCCCGCCCGACTCAACCTGCCTGGGTGCAATGCATACAAGGATTTCACAATGGGATTCGGTAGTGACTTGTCTCAACTAGGCAGGAAATGCTTCATATCGCACTGCAATCCTCCAAACCTCACCCTCGTGGCAACACTACAGCTTAGGTTTCTACTCCTCGTCAGCTAAGGTGATGGTGAGGATTCGATGACAATCTGTGGACTTCGCATTGCTCGCCATTGCCACGCATCGAATGCACTCGTGCCATTTCTGGCCTTCCTTGAGTCGCAGAAACTTGTTTGCTTCTCCATCCACCTATCAAGCAGGAGCCGCTTTAGAGGAGCAAGAGGACGAATCATCCCAGCGGTAGTACTGTAGAAAAGTAGTGACATCCGGGACTAAGTTTGGGCGAGATCACGCGCATCGGCGGAAATCGCGTTTCTCTCAATTGAATCGACTCGAATTGCTCCCCCCTCGCCACGTGGGCGTTTTTTCTTAATTGGCTGGACCGCCTTTCCCCCCGCCCCCCCAACCCGATGTTCCCGCCCTTCCCCACCGAAATTCGGGCAGCCGTGTGTACTCGCGTGAAATCACAAACAGTCACGATTACAATCTAACCACAACATGCGACAGTGTCCAGGTACTTGAGGCATGCCGCATCACCTTTCCAGCAGATTCTCGATTTTATTTTATGTTTTTAAATATTGTTATATTAAGCTTTTTTCACGAAACATCTAAAATCGCTCTAGATCTAAGTTTTACTAACATTTTTCTCACAGAAACGCATAGGCTGATTTAGATTAACCATTTTAAATTAGGTA